TTTCCCCAACTGCTGGTCCCGAGCATTTTTTTTTTTTTTTTTTTTTTTTTTAATTATTATTATTATTATTATCATTATTATTTTCCAGTTTGATCAGAGAGAGAGAGGAAGTGAGAAAGCAAGCCACCAGGTCCAAGACTTGAACCATGGTCGGCCATGTGGGAGTCCAGCTCCTTTAACCACAATGCCACTTGCCAACCCCAGCATGCTTCTATTTCTGAGAAGTAAATAATTGCTCTTAACTAGCTTCATTCTGTGTGTTCTTCCTTCCTTCCTTATAGTGTTTTACTGTCATTTGGAGTAAATTAAGACACCATTTTAAACTGAAGCAAAAAATGATACAACTGAATTAAGTTCTTTTGTATAATTCAGTTTCTCTAGGTTTTATTTAAACAACTTGGTAATAGTCCAATAATATTTTCCAAAAAGTACATGTGACTGAGACAAACACACAGGAGACATAAGTCAAAGATTTTATTCCACTCATTAATTATTGAGAGAACCTGTAAAACTGATTACAAGAGCATTTGAGGAGTACTCAGAATATTTTAGGAAAGAATTGCTAAATTAGATTATAAAACTGGTTAATATACAGGGGAATAAAATAGCAGGTCATCTTTCACAGGACAAAGATCTGCAAGTTCACATAATAATGAACCTTATTAATAAATAACAAGCAGTGTTACATTTCCCTGGAGGGGCCTGTTAAGCAATGCCTCTGGATGACATTGAAATGATATAGTCATCTCTTGGCCTTATCTTTGGGTTTTGGTTTTTCTTTCTCTCGCCTATTTTTTTCTTTTTCATTAGAAATTGTTTTAGTAAGTTAAACTGAGTATCTTCTGATTTTAAATTCATGGTGGTTTTTAGATTACTCCCCTCCCCCAAACACCTGTGAAATTCAAATCTGTATTTAGAACTGGTGGATTGGCATTTAAAACAAATCACGGAGCTCTACAGCTCTCAAGTGAGTTTGTCTAGGTTTCTCTCGGAGATGAGGGATTTGGCTGAGTTACTTATTTCCTACTTCTTGGAACCAAAAGGTTAGATGGATTGGCCGGCAGCCAGTTTTGCCATGGTGGTTATTTGGGGAAGAGAAGGGGAGTTTATTGTCTGTTGTAGTTTCTCCAGTAAATGGTTTAAACTGAGCCTGAACACTTTTATTCCCCAGAATAATCATTTTGTCTGAAAGTTAGCAGTGTATGAAATTATATTTTTCAAAATTTGTTTCCTAGTTTATTAGAAACATCTTTTGTTCTTATACTCTCATTTTTTTATTTAGAATGTTTTTTATAGTAAAGTAAAAGCCTGCCTGTTCTTCCTTAGAGCAGAAAGCTGATGCCAGTCTGTATTCCACAGGAGGTTTCTTACAGTGGTATTGCATAACCGCCTTTGACTTAGGAAGACTCGCATCCTGCAGATCCTAAATGGTTTACTTGCTCACTGTCTAAAATGCCTTTAGATTTAGCTGATGTGAATTAGAATTCTGAGTGTCATCTAGAATAGACCCAAGGAATTTCACTCTTTATATAGAGAGTGTCATAAAAGAAATAGCATGGTATCCAGCTTGCTTGCATTTTGTTCAGTACAGTTAGTTTTCCACGTGTGATTTCATTTGAATCTTACGGCAGCCCTGCTTATGAGGTTAGAAAATAGGCTCTGAAAGGTTAAAGACATGTCTGAAGATCAAGCATCTTAAAGGTAAAAGTTGAATTTTCTTACAGGAAAGATTAGTAGTTAAACCTAATTCTCTCTCCCTTTTAGTAATTGTGTAACCTTGAGCACATCTTTTAACCTCTGCAGTTCTCTGGTAGAGTTTTTAAGGTATTATAGGAGTTTGGAATCTTTATATGTGACCTTGGTCACATCTTTTTTCTTCATTTGACAAACGAACTGTGTTTGAATTAGAATAGGAGTTATAGCTATTTTTTCTAAATTGCGCTGGATTTTTGTTTGTTTGTTTGTTTGTTTTTAAGAATTATTATTTATCATTATATTTTTAATTTGCTACAGGGCATGTGTGCTCACCAAAGAGCAAGTGAGAAAGCAAGCTGCCAGATCTGGGATTCAAACCATGGCAAACCATGTGGGAATCCAGTGCCCCCAACCTCCATGCCACTTCCTGGCCCCTCGTTACTGTTTTATTTATTTGACTGTCTCGTGGGTTACCTGCAGTGGTGCACAGCTCTGCAGTGCTCGAGGCCACATTAAAGATTGGGGTTTGAGGGAACCAGCAGTTAGCGTAATGGCTATGTCGCTGGACTCCCATGTAGTCGACCGCGGTTCGTGTCCCGGACCCGGTGGCTTGAAACTCACGCCGGACGCGTGTGTGTACGTGCCCAGGATCCCGAGAGGAGAATGGAGGAGAAGGGATTGTGGTGTGACCATCCCCCCTGGGGGGTGATTTCTCACTTTCTGTCTCTATGTCTCTCTCTGTCTGTCTGGCGAGCGCACGCACCCTACAGTGAAAATCTCTCAAAAAAAAAAAAAAAAAGATCAGGGTTTGACACTCCAGTCAAACTGTACACACCAGGCAGTCACAAGTGCCTGTGATCCTGGCTAGGGAAGGCCCGGGAGAGGCGCTCAACAGAGAAAGCACTTTCCACTGGGCAGACTTCTTCCATTTCTCCATCCTGTTGGGATTTTGATGCGTGCACACATGGGGCTGGATTCAAACCACACTGTCAGCCATGCAGATGTGGAGTCTGGCACTGTCTGCACAATCCCTAATTACTGTAGTGTGGGGCCAGCCTAACGTGGCCTTTTGACTTGAGCTTAACATAAGCACACAGTTATCTACCTTTTTTTTTAAGAGTTTTGTTTTGTTTTGCTATAGTATACATGTGCTAGCCAGAGACACAGAGAGCAATAAACCACCACCTCCCAACCCCCAGGAGGGATGGCCATGCCATAATTCCTTCTCCAGTCTCAGAATTTTGGGCATGTACACATACGCCTGGCCTGAGTTTAAGCCACTGGGCCCAGGACTGAAACTGCAAAAGACTATGTGAAGTTGAGCAACATAACCATTATTCCATCTGCTGGTCCCTAATCATACATAGGTTTGTTTGTTTGTTTGTTTATAAAATTTGACCAGGAAGAAAGAAAGGGAAAGTGAGAAAGGCTGCCAGATCAAGGACTCAAACCATGGTCAGTCGTGTGGGCATCCAGCACCCTAACCACCACACCACCTGCCAGCCCACGCCCTCTCCCCTTTTTATCTTTTTTTTTTTTTTTAATGAATGCTTTTGCAAGAGGTTACATTTTCTTACAAAAAAAAAAAAAAAAAAAAAAACAGATGGGAAGGCCTAGGGGGGATTGTCAAGCTACAATCCATTCTCCTCTTGGGATTTTGGGCATGAACACACATCCTGTGTGATTTTTTTTTCAAGCTGCCAGGTCTGGGACTCAAACCTTGGCCATGAGGGAGTCCAGCTAGCATCTTAACCACCACATCACTGCTGCTTATTATGGATTCAGCATCTCAGCAATGCTGATTTGGTTTTGTTTTTGTTCTTTAAAGAATTATTTTATTTAACTTTGTTATTATTTTATTTCAATTTGACCAGAGAGGGACAGAGAGAAAGCAAGTCACCAGATCTGGCACTCGAACTATGGTTGGTCATATGGGAGTCCAGTGCCCTTAACCACCATGCCACCTACTGGCCGGAGCAGTGCTGTTTTTCAGACAGTTAAATTGATGGCAGGATGGGTGGGGCAATCTAATGTAACAGGGGCAGTTCTTCTGAGGCTGAGCCTCAATTTTATTAAATTCACTCTCTTAAGTGAGCAGTTTTTTGCCTTGAGCTAGGAAAAATTACATATTTCTTTTTCTAGAAGTACTTTTTTTTTTTTTTTAATACCTGTAAAAGATTATTATGCCTTTTTCCCCCCCTACAGATGTTCATTCTGGACAAAGTTGAAGGTGATACTTGTTCCCTTAATGAGTTTACCATAACTGGGTCAACATATGCACCTATTGGAGAAGTGTGAGTAACTGTTGATCTTTTATTATTATTATTATTATTATTATTTTGCTTTTAAAAATTTTGCCAGAGGGTCGGGTTGACAGTGGGGATGGTGCAAGGCTAGGGGCACTGGACGCCCATGTGGCCAATTGCAGTTTGAGTCCCGGACCTGGTGGCTTGCTTTCTCACTTTCCCTCGTTTTCTCACTCTGTCCCTCTCTGGTCAAATTTAAATAAATAAATAAACAAATATAAATAATTTTTAAAATTTTTGCCAGAGGGTTCATGTGCTTACTCATAAGAAAAAGATGGGGGGGGGGCACCTCTCAGTGGGGCATGGTCACACCACAATCCCTTCTCCTCCATTTTTCATCCTGTCAGGATTTTTTGCATCATGGGACAAGATTTGAATTACATGGCTGACCATGTGGGACACCCCTGCCTTTATCACTAGGCCGTGGGACCAACCCCTCTCATTATTTAGAGGATCCATTGTGGAAGTACCACATTTGTGTAGATTTATAACATCTCTAAAACAGCTTTCTGAATGTGTTCAAGTCAATACTTACTACTAGAGTAATACTTTTTCTTCTAGTTTGTTCACTTGCCAGAGGGAGAAAGTGAGAAAGCACCCCCATGGGGCCTGGTCGCACCACCATCCCTCCTCCTCCATCTCGCCCTCATTGTAGGATCTTAGGCACGCATGCTCCTGCCATGTTTCTCAAGCTGCCAGGTCCAGATTTTGAACTGTCAGTCGGCCACGTGGGATCCAGGCATCAGAACCACCACTCTACTGTTTGTCCCCTTTTTTCTTAGGCGGGGGTATATATAATGTATGTGTGTATACACAAACACACACACTCTCTGAAAGATCAAAACAGAAGTTACAAGGTCATCTTCAAGTGGAGTTTGTGGCTGGTTCTGCACTGATACAAGACATAGAGAATTTCTGGTCTTCTGATTCCTGATATCAGAGATCCATTCTCTGATTTGGCTCCAGGATCAGATTTCAAATAGCCATCACTTAGATTCTTTTGAATACTTTCCATCCATGGTTCCCACAATTCTTACTTCACTATTAATTAGGGGAGTCACTGGAGATGACCCAGTGTTCTAAGTTTGCTTTCTGTCTCAACAGGCATAAAGATGATAAGCTAGTGAAATGCCACCAGTACGACGGGCTTGTGGAATTAGCAACAATCTGTGCCCTTTGTAATGACTCTGCTTTGGATTACAATGAGGTAAGGCTCTTTGTAAATGAGAAACTAGGCTTTGGCTATTCCTGGTTCAGGGATGGGTTGGGTGGAATGAAAATCCAGTCTTCCTTCCTCTTTTTAAAAAATAAGGGTTCCTGGTTTTCTGTCCCTTTTGCGTCATTAGCCTGTCCGTCAGGGCCCACATGACCTAGCTAAAGAAAGCTGAGAGCCTAGCATGGTCTCTGGACTATGCAGTTATTTAGCTCAGTCATAGTGCATGTGATGTTCTCAGCGGTTGATAGCAGGGTTAACTGAGTGTAAGTGAGTAAAACCCACTACAGAAAATGTTTTCTTAAGCATAGGGTCTTAAGATGCATATTACATTATATTGGGGCTTAGAGAGTATTTGATGATATAATGAAAATACAAATTTTAACCAGCAGAAAACTTTTTCCCCCTTCGTCTTCATAGCAAATAGAAAAGTAAATAGCAATAGTAGATCCTTTGGCTTCTATCTCACAGACAAGCCAGTCCCTGTCAGAGACCGCACATAACTCTTGCGGTTACAAGCAATGACTGGAATTACAGGTCCTGTTTACAAGCACTCTTTGGATTAATAGATATTGTGATGAGTAGTTGACTGAAATAATAAACACTTGGATTAGTGGTTTCTTATATTTGAGAGGTAAAAAAACTAGATTTTAGAATACGGTAACAGGCACACCTGTACCTAGTACCTTTTATCTGGATTCTCCGGGATGGAATAAGCATCGTCCATCAAATAACAGTGCAGAAGAGGACAGGTTGTCTTTCTGTGTCCAGAAGTATAAGAGAAATTTACCTGTTTACTCTTTTCCGTTTTTCACACTTTTGATATAGGCGAAGGGTGTGTATGAAAAAGTTGGAGAAGCTACAGAGACTGCTCTGACCTGCCTGGTAGAGAAGATGAACGTGTTTGATACTGAGTTGAAGGGTCTTTCTAAAATAGAACGTGCCAATGCCTGCAACTCGGTCAGTATTTGAGCTTGCTGTGGTGTTTCCTGCGCCTCCATTGACCCTGCATACTTAGTCCCTTCACTCTCCTGCTCTCTCAGACAGCTACAGCTGCCTTGTCTCCTCAGACTGGCAATAGCTCCTTCCTCACCTTCATCCTCAGGTAACGGCCTCGCTGTCAGTGAGTACATGGTTTCCACAAAGCCATCTGTGCCCACGGGACTGCTTCCTCTCGTGGTACTGTGAGCCTCCTGGCAGAGCCAGCTTTTCCTAAGGTCTCTTTCAGTTTCCATCTCCCCTGATCTTCTCCATCAGCCTAGGAGAGGAATTTGAACTTACTTCTCATGTCAGCAACCGTTTTTTTTCTTTTTCTATATAGTAAAACTTCTTGAAAGAGCTATTTCTATGGATTAGCCAGTTTCGTTTTTATTTTCCTACGTCCTCTCTGAGCAAGCTTTTGTTTCTGCTAGTCTGTTAAGACCTGTTAGATTGGGGACAGCAGGTGGTGTGGTAGCTGGGGGCTCTGGACTCTCACATGGCTGACTGTGGTTCAAGTCCCAGACCTGGCAACTTGCTTCGTCACTTTCCTTCCCCCTCTCTCTTCACTCCCTCCTCCCCCAGTCAAATGAAAATAAATAAAAATAATTATTTTTTTAAAATATTAAAGGGAATAAAAGACCTCCTGTTAGAGTCACCTGTGACCTTGTGCTGAATCCAGTGGTCAAGTCATTAGTCCGTGGTATCAGATTACCCATTTAAAGTACACAAAGCAAAAACTAAAAGCAGAAGAAAAAAGAGAGAGACAAGTTCACAGAGTTGCAGATTAATTTGGCCGTCAGAAAAGTCCTGATGTGTTTTTCTGTGCAAAAATGAGTCATGGCTTTTCAGACAATCCAGTAACATATCTCAGTAATCAATTGGATAGACAGATGAAAAGTTGGTAGTGATAAAAGATTTGAACACAGTAAATATACTTGACCTAATCTGTATTTCTTGTATGCTGCTTTGTGCATGCCAAATGCATGAAGAACATTAACCAGAACAGTCCAGATTTGTAGGTCCATGAAGCGAGTCTTAGCAGATTACAAAGGATTGAAATCACACACATTGTGCCGCTGACTATAATGGAATGAAACCAGTATTTGCAAGTTGATATTTTCAATAATCCATGGATCAAAACAGAAAAGCCGTACTGGAAATGAGAAAATATTTGGAACTAAATGTTGGAATCACTATATGATGCCAGGGCATCATTCCAGAGGAGCTTGTAGATTTAAGTGCACATACTGAAAAAAAATAGTTAGGGCCAGCAGATGGCATGGTGGTTAAGGGCACTGGATTCCCATGTGGTCAACCGCAGTTCGAGTCCCGAACCTGGTAGCTTGCTTTCTCACTATCCCTTTCTTTCTCTCTGGTCAAATTAAAAAATAATAATAAATGGAATTAATTAAATTTAAAAAAAAAAGAATAGTTAAAAACCAGTGATAAGATCAGAATCCTGGGGCCAGCAGGTGGCATGGTGGATAAGGTGCTGGACTCCCACATGGCTGACCAGGGTTTGAGATCTGGACCTGGTGACTTGTTTTTTCACTTTCTCTCTCTCTGGTCAAATAAAAAACTAGTAATAAAAATAAATTTAAAATAAAGTTTAAAAAAAAAAAAAGATCAGAAACCTACCACGATCAACTTGTTACCAGTACATGTGACAGTTTAGGAGGTGACAAATCTGTTCAGTAATGGAATTGTCTAAACTGATAACAAGAAAAATGTTATTAACCTTAATCTGTTAAAATTGAATAATCTATAAGTTTAAATCTATAAAAATTCTCTAGGCCTGGTTCTACCAAACATCTAAGGAAGAAGCACCACCAGTTTTACATAGACTTAGACAATAAGCAGAAGAAAAAAATACAACTCACTTAATAAGGCCGGCATGGTCCTGACTCCAAAGAGGCAGAGGCCATGTAGCCTCTGGGCCCCTCTCCTGCAGGTCAGATCCCTGAGCATGACTGATTCACTCAGGATCTCCATGACCAGAACCAGCAGCAGGGGGTAGGGGAGGACTTTGGTGAGCTGCACCTGAGCCAGCCCCTGGTCCCTGAGCTAGAACCCTGCAGTATTGGGTTCTACCAGGCTTAGTTATTTGTCTTGTCAGACTCAACTGCCTGTCATCACCAAATTGCTACGACTTAACAAGGCCCCCAAGTAGGGCCTTGTTATAGGAAAACTTTATTCTGTAACAAGGGTCCTAGTGGAATAAGGAGAAATGAGAGAGGAAAGGATAGATGCTTACGTGCCTGAAGGAACAGGGTTGGAGGTGGTCAGGCAATCGTAGCTTTCTTTGGGCATGATACAAAGCTGTATGGAGGCGCTCATTTCTGACAGGTGGCCAGCTATTGCTGTGTGTCCTGTGGGCACAGGCCCTCCCTTCCACCATCCGTGGGGAGCAGGCAGAGGAGTCAGAGTGTTACTGGGTTGGGGCAGCGCCACACTGAGCACCTGAGTTGGAGGGTGTGCTCTCCTCTTAATCAGGGCCTCGTCTTTAAGATGTGGGTGACCACGTACAATCTCAGGCTGTGAAAGGAGCTTCCAGACCGTTCTGTCCAGTCTGACGCATTCAGGCAAGGACACTTGAGGCTGTCTTCCACGACTTGCATCTGGTGTCACAGCTAGTGGGAAGCAGGACTAGACTCCCCCACCCTTCCCCCCAGCACCCTTTTCTTCTTTTGATCATTTATCTCCTTTTTTAATGTCCTGAATAAAGCTTACACCAAAATTGAGGTGTCTCAGCTGAAGTACAGGATGTCTCCAATTCCCACAGGTCCTTAGGGCACCTACCCCTACTTACATGGCCTCCACTGGAGACCGCATACTTCCTGATTGCCAGTCTGCAAGGAGTGGACCCTTGCAAAGCCGCATTGTGACATCTTTCTGAAAAAACGAAACTCAGCTTCCGACAAGTTTAGATTGCTTGGTTCTCGGCCTGTACCTGTACCTGCTCAAGGACTGGGGACAAGTAGAACACGGGGCGTAAGATTGCTGCAGTAATTAGCGACCTTGTTCTCATCTGCCGGATCCAGCCTCTTGCTTCGTGGCCTCCTGTGCATCTTTTTTTCCCACTTCAGCTTGCCAGCAGAGTCAGCAGTGACTCACGGGGCTCGTTCGGTGAGAGGCCCCAAAAGCTCCTTGCCTCCTCTCTCCACCTCAGAGAGCCAGAACTTGGTCATAGTTCAGGGGCGAGCTTTTCAGCCCTAGTTGCCCATCTGGGACAGCTACCCTCAATCACCCAGTACAGGAAGAAGGAGCCTTTTCCTTCTGCCCCCAGGCTCTCAGCTGTGTAGGTTCACACCTGATTCAGAATCACCAGGCGTTCTTTAGTCTTCTTGTATTGTAGCCTTTGGTACAAATGCTAACTGAAACTAAGCATAAGGAATAGCGTCACATTCAGATGGTGCAGAATTCAGCATGGTCCCACACCTCAGCCTTTGCCACCTGAGGCAGCCCAGCAAAGCCAACTGAACAGACTGTAACCCTCACAGCTTCCTAGATTAGATGCTGAGGTTCTTTGGAGTTTCTGCAATTATTAACTGTTTCAGTGGGGGAACATCAAAAATCCATAAGGCCTACCTCAGATACGAAAGGGCATATAAATTTTTTCTCACCAAATAAGAAAGACGTATTTGCCAGCCGACAATATATGTACAAAAGCTAAACAAACATACTTAACCAGCCAGAGAAGACTTCCCACTCACCATTTCTACTCTTTTCTTTTCTTTCTTTTTTTTTTTCTTTTTTTTTAAGAATTATTACTTGAGACCAGCAGTTAGTGTAATGGCTATGTCGCTAGACTCCCATGTAGTCGACTGGTTCGAGTTCCAGACTCAGAGGCTTAAACTCATGCCGGGCGCGTGCGTGCCCAAGATCCCGAGAGGGGAATGGAGGAGAAGGGATTGCAGTGTGGCCATCCCCCCTGGGGGGTGATTTCTCGCTTTCTGTCTCTCTCTGGCGAGCACACGCGCCCTATAACAAAAACCTCTTTTTAAAAAAAAAAAGGAAAAAGGGCAAACCACGGTTGACCATTTAGCAGTCCAGCACCCTAACCACCACGCCACCTGCCGGCCTTACCACAGTGCTTTCAAAGGAAGGGGCCCCACACCTAGTCCTTGGCTGTTTGTGTCTGTATTTAACTCCCATGACCAAAGCTTCTGGTCCCTGATGGGCTGTCAGTGTGTTGGGCTCTAAGATAGACATGTTCCTTAGATGCCTTAGCCATATTCCTGCGTTTAGTAGCCCTAGCTAACGGCTGTATGAACAGCACCAGTGGGGAGCATTTCCACAGTGGAAGAGAGTTTTGTGAAGAGCCCTGTTCAGCACCGACTTCCTCTGTATCTGTGGTGCCACCCCACATCCGCCCATCCCAGTCCAGGTCCCTGTCGTACTAAATGGTATTGTCTCCCCTCAGCCAATTCTTAACTGCCAGCGCTTGAACCCTCATGTTTTGGTGCAGAAGTGTTGAAATCTATGTGTGGATTTTTCTTTTTTTTTTTTAAGTATATATTTATATTTTAATTGGACCAGAGAGAGAAAGTGAGAAAGCAAATCACCAGGTTCAGGACTTGAACCATGATCAGCCATGTGGGAGTCCAGCGCCCTTAACTACCACGCCACCTGCCGGCCCCCACATGTGATTTTTCTAATACACATTTCCCATAAACATTTTCAAGGCCGCCCTCAGAAGCCACATGTCCTGCAGTGACCTGCCTTCTCCACCCCCTGCCGTAGCCCTCTCAGTGCCCCTTTTCTCACAGACGTCATTCCATCCACACAGACCTTTTGCTGCCTCTTCAGCACAGCAGGCTGCCCTCTGCTTCCTCGCCTGGTGGGACCTCTCCACCACCATCCACCTTGCCCATCTGTCAGATATTTACCTGAGTGTTGCCACCTCCTGACTGTTTCGTGCAGCGTTGTGGTCTCCACATACGTGCATTTCCTGTCTCCCGCTGCTGCCTTGTGTTCTCCATAGCACTGATACTGTCACACTCGGGTCTGTCTCTCTCAAACCAGAGCACACGTTTCATGTGGGCCAGAACACGCCTGCCTTGTTACTACATTTCCAGTGACAGTCATCTAACAGGGACTTGGACAAGGGGAAAAAGCACAGAAGTGATCATCCAGTAGCATCCCCTATTCTTTCCACAGGTCATTAAACAGCTGATGAAAAAGGAGTTTACTCTGGAGTTTTCTCGTGACAGGAAATCTATGTCGGTTTACTGTACACCAAACAAACCAAGCCGGACATCAATGAGCAAGATGTTTGTGAAGGCAAGTATGGAAGATTGGGATGAAGATGTTCTGACCAGGGTTGATGTGGCCGTGAGCCAGTAAATAACAATTGTTGCTCTGAATTGTAATATTTGCAGGGAGCACCCGAAGGTGTCATTGACAGGTGCACTCACGTTCGAGTTGGAAGTACAAAGGTCCCTATGACCCCTGGAGTCAAACAGAAGATCATGTCTGTCATTCGGGAATGGGGCAGTGGCAGTGACACATTGCGATGCCTGGCCCTGGCCACTCATGACAACCCACTGAGGAGGGAAGAAATGCACCTCGAAGACTCGGCCAACTTCATTAAATACGAGGTCAGCTACAGAAAGTCCTCATCCACGCCCTGCACATTCATTGTGTTAAAACCTTGCTCCTTCAAGTAAAAGGTCAAATGATTTTTGCTTTTGCCAAGTAAGAGGTGTGGTGGTTTGAGTATAAGCCAAGTGCGTCACCCTTATAAGTCATGTTACTCCTTCAAATATAGAGTTAACAAATTAGTAATAGTCTGTTACTTTCAAAGAATAATCAAGACAAGTTTAAGTAAGCTTGTAAGGCCAATTTTGCAACTCTTGAGTAACTTAAGTTTTTCTTTCTTTTTTGGGGGGGGGAGGGGAGAGGGTGTGTGTGCTTGCCAGAAAGAAAGCGAGAAATCACACACACACCCCCGAGGTGGGTATGGCCACGCTGCAATCCCTTCTCCTCTCCGGATCTTGGGCACACAAACACTCGTGCCCGGCGTGAGTTAAGCCACTGGGTCCAGGACTCAAACTGTGGTCGACTACATGGGAGTCTGGCGACATAGCCATTACGACAACTGCTGGTCCCCCAACTTAAGATTTTCTTAACTGCAAATGTTTTTATGCCCAAGTCAAGAGATAGATGCTCTTTCACTTCTCTGCTCAGAATAGAATCCTTCATATCAAGTATGTGGCAATGTCCTGAGGCTTTGAATGAGGGAGATGGCCACTCAAATGGACAATACCAAAGGCATTTACTCCTCAATATGGCTTTTTTTAACCCATTTCACAATACTATCATTATGAGAGTTTAAAAATCATTTGGTGACACAAGCGTAGTGACATTCTTTTCTTTCCCCTCATTTGAAAATGTAGAAGTGTTCTTAATGTGTAAGTGACCATTTTTCAAGCTGGGGCAGAGGAAAACAGAATTTCCTGTTTTAATTTGAAGTGGTTCTCTCATGTTAGACCAATCTGACTTTCGTCGGCTGTGTGGGCATGCTGGATCCTCCGAGAATTGAGGTGGCCTCCTCTGTGAAGCTGTGTCGGCAAGCAGGCATCCGGGTCATCATGATCACAGGGGACAATAAGGGCACTGCTGTGGCCATCTGTCGCCGCATTGGCATCTTCGGGCAGGACGAGGATGTGACAGCCAAGGCTTTCACGGGTCGGGAGTTTGACGAACTCAATCCCTCAGCCCAGAGGGATGCCTGCTTGAATGCCCGCTGTTTCGCTCGGGTTGAGCCCTCTCACAAGTCCAAGATCGTAGAGTTTCTTCAGTCTTTTGATGAGATTACAGCTATGGTGAGTGTGTTTGAATATGAACAAGTAATCGCAGCTACACAGACAGCAGGATGTGATTTTGCCCACCTGCTTTGATCTTTCTAAAATTCTCTTGATCGGTAGTTGGCATATTCCGTGCTACTTGCAAAGAAGATTTTAGTGCCTTGTATATCAGTCACAGAGAGCTATTTGGTGACATCTGGTCTTTCTTTGTCTTGATTAAAGCAAACATTTTCGTATCTGAAATTTCCTGAAAACAAATTCAGGACCCTACCCAGTTGACAGTCCCGTGCCTAGCATTTAGATAACTCTTCCATTCAGACTGTTCATGAGGTGTCTTTAAAGAGTTTTCTGTCAGGACCAGCAGATGGCATGATGGTTACGTTGCTGGACTTTCATGTAGTAGACCATGGTTCAAGTCCCAGAACTGGCAGCTTAGAACTCATGCTGGGCCGGTATGCCCAAAATCCTGAGAAGAGATTAGAGAAAGGATTGTGGCATAGCCATCCCGCTTCAGGGGTGATTTCTTGCCTTTTGTCTGTCTGTCTGGCAAGTGCACATGCCCTACAGCAAAAATCACTTAAAAAAAAAAAAAAAAGAACTGACTGTTGATGAAACAAGTCCAGTACTCTCTCATTGTTTCGTTTTTTACTCAGAAGTACTAACATTGTGCTCGTTTGCTTTCTGTTGATTTTTTTTTAAAGAGTTACTTATTGTTATTTTTAAGTTTCCTATAGGGCACATGTGAGAGAGAGAGAAAGTGAGAAAGCAAGCTGCCAAATCTGGGACTCGAACCTTGATTAGCCATGTGGGAGTCGTGTGCCCTAACCACCATGCCACCTGCCAGCCTGCTTTTTATTGATTTCTATAAAATTTTACTTTAAAAAGTTGGTTTTAAAAACAAATATTACAAACACACACTTTTTCTCCCAGAGATAATCGCCATCTTGAAGTTGGAATTTAGAGAAAATATATAAAACATACATGGGGGACCAGCAGATGGCATAATGGTTACATCATCCGACTCCCACATAGTTGACCATGGTTGGAGTCCCAGACCTATTGACTTAAAACTCATGCTGGGCACATGTGCATGCGTGCCCGAGATCTCGAGAGGAGAATGGAGGAGAAGGGATTACTGCTTTCTCACAATTTCTCTCTTTCTGTCTGACTCTGGTGAGCACACATGCCCTATAGTAAAAAAATCTCAAAAAAAATTTAAATAAATAAATAAAAATAGCAGTACAATATTACAATTTACATATTTTTGCAGTCTGTTCCTTTTCTACTTGAGATTTTTTTTAAATGAAGTATTTTATTATGTATTTTTTTTGGAGAGGTTTTTGCTAAAGGGTGCATGCACTGGCCAGAGAGACAGAAAGACAGAAAGCGAGAAATCATCCCCCACGGAGGGGGTGAGGGAATGGCCACGCTGCAATCCTTTCTCCTCCATCCTGCTCTCTGGATCTTGGGCACACATCCACAGACGCCCAGCATGAGTTTAAGCCACCAGGTCCGAGACTTGAACCACAGTCAACTACATGGGAGTCCAGCAACATAGCCATTATGCCAACTGCTGGTTCCAATCATTTTATTTTTTTTAACTTTGTTTATTTTAATTTGACCAGAGAGGGACAGAGCAAGAGAGAGAAAGTGAGAAAGCATGCTGCCTTGTCCGGGACTCAAACAACGGTCAGCCTATGTGGGAGGGAGTCTAGTGCCCTTAACTGCCATGTTACCCGCCAGCCCTTCTACTTGAGATTTATCCATGCAGATATAAGTACTTCATCTTGACTGCCAAGTTGGTTGCATTTGGGGTGGTTTTTTTGGTTTGTTTTTTGTTGTTGTGGTGGTTTTTTTGGAGAGGTTTTTGCTATAGGGCGTGTGCGCTCACCAGAAAGACAGAGAGAGATAGACAGAAAGCGAGAAACCACGCCGCAGTCCCTTCTCCACTCTCCTCTCATGATCTTAGGCACGCACACACAAGCGTCTGGCATGAGTTTAAGCCACCGGGTCCGGGACTTGAACCATAGTCAACTACGTGAGAGTTCATCGACATAGCCATTACGCTAACTGCTGGTCCCTCCATTTGGGGTTTTGGTATGGTACATGTAATCGGTTATTTTACTGTCCCCTTTGTTCCACTTCCCTCGCAACTTCATTTGGTAAGCTTGTTGGACAATCTTATGTGTCCCAGGTAAAACATATTTTGAGGCCAACTTAAAAAAAAAAAAATTCTACTATGCCTCTTTGCCCAGGGAAGGGGTTATGTGGCCGGCGTCTGTGACCTGAACATCGGCTTCCCTTTCAGACTGGCGATGGGGTGAATGATGCTCCTGCTCTGAAGAAAGCCGAGATTGGTATTGCCATGGGTTCTGGCACCGCAGTGGCTAAAACTGCCTCTGAAATGGTCCTGGCCAATGACAACTTCTCGACCATCGTAGCTGCTGTGGAGGATGGGCGGGCCATATACAACAACATGAAGCAGTTCATCCGCTACCTCATCTCGTCCAACGTGGGGGAAGTCGTCTGGTAGGTCTGTGATGGCGTGATGTTCCTGTCTAAAACCACGAGTTATGGTACTGGCCGGTTTGCGCTCCCTATTGTGGTAGCTCTCATTTTTGTGCCCAAGTTGGAGGGAAGGGTGGACCCAACACAGGATTCCTCTGAAGGCAGTAGTGCTCCTGGCCTGCAGGAGGCCTGTCCATTCCAGTGGGCAAAGACTCCTCTAACATGATGCAAGTTGAAATTACCCATGTAGTCACACGATCGTCTTAGCCATCTAAATTTTTAATTAAAAATGGGTATATAATAAATGCTCTATGATTATCCAAAGTTATTTCAGATACTCACTGTTGCTGCCTATTGATTTTTTTAAAAGAATTAGTTTATTTAACTGTATTATTATTTTTAGTATTTTCAGAGATACACACACACAGAAGGAGGGTGGGGGGCAGTGAGAAAGCAGGCCGCCAGGTCCCGGATTTAAACCGCGATCAGTCATGTGAGAGTCCAGCGTCCTTAACCACCACGCCATCTGCCGGCCTGCTGCCCGTTGATTTTTATTGGGGGGGGTGTGATAATGCTATTTAAATAGTGGCCAAAAGTCATTTGATGTTTCTCTTTTTTCTTGGGTGCAAACAGTATTTTCCTGACAGCGGCGCTTGGCTTTCCTGAGGCTTTGATTCCTGTCCAGCTGCTCTGGGTCAATCTGGTGACAGACGGCCTGCCTGCTACTGCGCTGGGCTTCAATCCCCCTGATCTGGACATCATGAATAAACCTCCACGGAACCCCAAGGAGCCACTCATCAGTGGCTGGCTCTTCTTCCGTTACCTGGCTATTGGCTGTGAGTACTGATTTTTAATGCTGATTTGTGCATGTGTGGGGGTGGGTCAGAACCTTTCCCTTTCATCCCCACGTTAAGGTAGCAGGAAATGGGGCGTGCCCTCGCATTTCAGTGAACTGTACCGCAGACTAAAGTTCCTGATAGTGCATGTTCTGACATGCTGCCTCCCTCGGGCTTCTGTGAGGGTTTCCGAGTCAGCCCTGAGTGCACAGGAACCCAGGGGTGGCTTGGGTGGGTCCTCCTGCCTTCTCAGAGCTCATAGGCAAGGCCCAACAGATACTTCCACGTATATAACCAAGACCCCACTCCTGTAAGCAGGAGAGGGGCATGCATGCCTGGGGCCCGTGTCAGTCTGCCGCCTCGTGAGCCCTCATCTTCCTGACCTGCATGCTGGTGCTCGTCCCTTCAGAAGTTAGGAAAGTGAGACCCAAAGAGATGAAGTCACCTCCCCAGGTGCCCGGGAAGGTGTTTTAGTAATAATTTACTCCACTTAAAATGCAAGCGCACACAGTGGTACCGAGTGGAAAGGCTCCTCTCAGCCAGCCCACTCCCTGAATTCAGTGTGCCTGTCCCCTGGACTTGTGCCCTCCAGCGAGTCTAGCAGATAGATAGGTTTTATGGCCTGGGGTCTTCTCCCAAAAGCAAGACATGCCGTTCTGACCTGTGTGCCACGTGCCTTCAGTTCTGTGGGTGGGTAATTGCATCGGCACGCACAGCTGCCTCTTGTCTCGTGGCTCCTGGGACGCTGGCTGAGCAGTCGCCTGTGTTGGTACAGGCTCCCGCTCCGTCGGCCTCCAGTTGTCCTCACGGGATTGCAGTGAGCACCGTGACATCAGCATTGTCGTGTTTGTTCCAGGTTACGTCGGCGCTGCTACCGTGGGTGCTGCTGCGTGGTGGTTCATCGCTGCCGACGGCGGTCCCAGAGTGTCCTTCTACCAGCTGGTATTTGACGCACCTTGATTCTCTCTGAACTGTAGCTGTGTGGCATTGCAGGCCTTGATCTGTTCTTTGGCTTGGGTGCCCGTCAGTCACCTTTAGGTCCAACAACAAGCAGTTGTATCTGAGAGGGTTCTGAAGAGCAAGGGCTTCCTTGGGATCTAGGGTAAAACCCCACAGCTGCTGCTCCTCAGTCATTTCCTGATTCTTGTGTAGACCGTTCTGGGCTGGGTGTGGAATTGGCATCCGAACTTGGGCGATCTGCTCGGCTGATCAGGCTTTGGTTGGACTTCTGTTGCAGAGTCATTTCCTCCAGTGTAAAGAGGACAACCCGGACTTTGAAGGAGTGGATTGTGCAATCTTTGAATCTCCCTACCCAATGACAATGGCACTGTCTGTCCTAGTAACCATCGAGATGTGTAACGCGCTCAACAGGTCAGCGAGGGTTGTGGCAGGATGTGGCAAGAGCTGTGGTACCAGGCACTGGGGGTTGAGGATCATGAGAAGGCTTTTCCTCCCCAAAAGGAAGAACCGGCAGCACTGGTTAAAGCCGAAGCTGCCATTCCCTCCAGGCAGTAGTGGGAGTGCTTAGGCACGTGTTTCTTAAGAGCTCATCCTGGAACAGCAGAGCCAGAAGAGCAACTTTGGTACCTACCCTCTTACACTAACGCCCACAGGGGCAGGCAACAAATGGTCCTATCCAATTAAGCCAGGCCAAAAATGGAACTTTCTAAATAGCTTAGGTGTCCAGGGCAATTGAGAACAGCTTTGAGCCACAGAGACAGGATCTGCTGCACCAAAAAGCCTTGGTGTCAAACTCGCAGTGTCCTATATCTGAACTCCTCCTCGCCAGTCGTTGGAATGGGGTCAGTGCAGGGTGCCAGTTAGCAGCTGCCTTCCCGAGCTGCAGGGCAGCAGCTCGCTAACAGCCTCTCATGAGATGACCTCTGCCCTGTTGGTGAGTTCATGACCTTTCCTGTCCTGCAGCTTGTCTGAGAACCAGTCCTTGCTGAGGATGCCCCCATGGGAGAACATCTGGCTCGTGGGCTCTATCTGCCTGTCCATGTCGCTCCACTTCCTGATTCTCTATGTAGAGCCTTTGCCAGTAAGTGGTCATGGAACCTCGGGGTGGGACCAGCTGCCTCCTTTCTGAAAAGTCTGGGAGCTTGACGCGGCTTCCCTGTGTTTCAGCTTATCTTCCAGATCACACCGCTGAATTTGACCCAGTGGCTGATGGTGCTGAAAATCTCCTTGCCTGTGATTCTCATGGACGAGACCCTCAAGTTCGTGGCCCGCAACTACCTGGAGCCTGGTAAAGAGTGTGTGCAGCCTGCCACCAAACCCTGCTCCTTCTCGGCATGCACCGACGGGATTTCCTGGCCATTCGTGCTGCTCATAATGCCCCTGGTGATCTGGGTCTATAGCACAGACACTAACTTTAGTGACATGTTCTGGTCCTGACTGACAGTTTCACATAAAGAAGATGTTTAACTTAATCAATTAATTTTTTATTGTTTAAAGCAACTGTCTATTTCTGCTGAATTTTCACATGAACATATTGGCTGGTGAAGGAGGTTTCATATTCTAGATTTTGTTTTGCTTTTTCTGACTCCAGTGGGGCAAGATTTTCCTTTTTTATACACATAATTAAAGTGTCCATTGACATGTACAGAGAACTAACACTATTTTATGCAAATATTTTTTTGTAGATGAAAAAGCATGTACAGTGTTCTGTTTAATACTCATCCTTGTATAAAAAATAGTTGAGCCAGCAGACATTGTCAGCAAGTTAATTGGCAGCAGATTTTAGGAAATGAATGTGTGTGGTTTTTTTCTAAAACTAAGTAGCATGTATTGTGTCTTTTGCATGATCATCTGGATTTAATTTGATATCACAGTCTAATTTTTACTCATAAGCCAATTTCTGCACTGAGCAGAGCCCTGCTACCTCAGTCAGTATTTTTGGTTTGCCACTTCCCTCACCCTCGCGGCCTCCGCTCACCCACGCCCCAGCCCACCCCACCCCTGCTCGGCTTCTTCTGTAGGATTCGGATGGCTCTGTTTACATCAGTCTTAATGAGAGGTATGCCTGTTCTCGCTTGTGCAGAAAACATTGTTCCAGATTCAATTGACCGGGTTTATGTCCCTTCACATAGTTTTTAAGGTTATTTATTTAAATGTCTAATGTATTTTATTGTAACAGACATTGTTTTTGCCAACATTGCCTATTTCAGTGGCACTTCACAATCTAGTTTAAAAGAGAAATAAAACATTTTAAATGGACAGAGGAAAAAGAACTGTCTTGTTTCTAAGTGACTTATCTTGAACTATATAATAGATATGCCCAACTCTCAAGTTCTTAGAACTTTAGTTTACTGTGCTTGAGGGGAAGAGCAGTCCTGTCCTGCCGCACAGGTAGCGCGTAGCAGTAGGCGTTTCACTTGATGTAGAGGCAGTAGTGGCCGTTAGTGGTACACGTTTTATGCAAGTTTCTGCTGGCCTGTTCTAGTCCGGTGTTAAATGTCAGGACAAGCGTGTGTGCGTGAGTGTGTGCGCGTGCGTGTGTGCGTGTGTTTTGTAAAATCTGTAAATAGCACATGACCAGATGAACATATTGTATAGACCTATTTTTATTTGAGCGTGCACTAACCATCACCATCGTGACTGTGACCAATGTTTGCGCATGTCCGAGAGCAGTCCTCCCACCGTGTGTACGTCATTAACTGTCCTAACTGTGCTGTTTTTCTCCAATGCCTTCCAACATCCGTCCACTAACGTGAGTATCTCCTTCCCTGGGATTTGGATTTATCCCACAAGTGATTGCCCCAGATAAGCCAGCTGTGGGCCACTAACAGATGAGCCTCAGCGTCCCACACTGCTGTGCCCTGCCACTCCCACAGCAGTGGGCATGAGTGGAGGGCACAGGAGTCGTCGTGCAGTGTCAGCTAGTGGGCATGACTCCGACCACACCGCTTAGGACACCTGCTCAGCAAGGTGCCAGGGAGAGCCCACACCAGACTGAAGCCGAGGAAGGGAGCCTCGTTCCTGCTGCTTTGGATAGACTGACAGGCCGAAGGAAGGATGCTTCCTCGGGTAGTGAAGTAAAGAGTCAAAAAAAGGATAAAGCTTTTACCTTTGTTAACTGCAAGGAATCATTCCAGAACTTTGCTGCCTTGTTCATTAAAAAGCAGAAGCTGGTGCGAGCAGGTACCCTAACCTAGTCACCCAGGCCTCCGTGGGTTCCTCTTAAATAGGCCACCTTTTTTTTCACTGGCCTTTCTGGGTCACATCCTTTGTGACTAAGGGGCCAGTCCTCTCTCCAGAGTATGTTAGAGCACAGCCCCAGCCCCAGCCTCATGCAGGGCCTGCTGGTCTCCGGAAGGTAGCAAGCCCTGGTTACTGGGATGCCAGAAGATGTGCTGTAGCTACCTGGAGCCCCGGGAGAAGCTGAGGGGTGTGAATGAAGCAGCACAGCTTGGCTGCTGCAGAGTTGAAAGGTCCCGGCGTAGGGGGCGGAAGTGGGACAGGGATGACAAAGCACAGACCTGGTCAGGCTCTGTGAAGCCTCAGGCTGCTTGCAAGTGATGACCCTGAGGAAGGGAGCCTGGATTGTCCAACAGAGGAAGTCAGGGTAGGTTTTGCCACTTTAAGCATCATGAGGTGTAGAGAGAAATGGGGCAGGTGTTTGGAGTACGGGGAGTGGCTCTGAGCTGCAAACCCAACAGGATGGCGGCATTGGCCGGGCCATGCACCGCTCAGCAGAGATTAGTCAGCTTGACTTGGTCCCTTGATTTTGCGGCCTTAGTGGTGAGGGCTGCTGGGGGAGATCCGCATGTCCCTGGGCCGGCCACGGCCTTGTGGTCTTTTGGCTTCAGGTGCCTCTGGCCTACAAGGCAGTTTGGGCACCCACCTAGGTTGGCCGAGACAGTGGGAAGCAGGTTAGGCCTGCTGCCGCCCTGAGCAGGACCACGTGGCCTTCACTGTGTGGCTTTGCCAGCTGAGAGCATGTCAGCAGCTACCCTGCTCCGTCGTCAGCCCACAGACGAGGCCCAGCCCTTCTCCCCATCTGCAGCTCTGCCTGGAAGCAGCCCTGAGCTCTTCCCTGATGGCAGGTGGGCTGCCGGCCTCCCCTCAGCATTGCTCTTCGCTACCCCCTGCCTCACCCAGCCTCTGACAGAGCTCTGCCCCACTGTGCCCAGGGCAGCCTCACACATGCCCTGACTGGGCCCCTCTGCAGAACGCAAGTGACCTATTCTGTTGGGGTAGGGGAGAACTAGGGCGTCTCCCCAGCCAGGTAGGGTGGCTGCCACCGCATCACCCTCAAGTCGAGGGCTTGGCCTCAGGAATACCTGAGACCACAAGCATTAGCTCAGTGTCTGCCGCGTACCTACCACACCCGAGCCAGAGCACACACAGCTGCAGTGTGCTGAGCTGTGAGCCCGGGGCTGCCCCTTGACTTCCACCTTCATGTTCGCCAGAACAGCCCGTCTCTGCTAATGAGAACCGTCCTCAGACTGCTTTACTGAAAGGGCTTTCCTTTCCTGGATCGGGCAGTGGGAGGCCTGTAGCCCAGGGAGGCAGGCAGGGCTGGCAGCTCTGCACAGCTGCCATGCTGCCCACTCTTCACCCTCTACTGCCAACCGAGGCCTGGCTTCTGCCACTCACCGCTCCACGCCTGACGTTTTCCTGCGAGCAGCACTGGCCTTTGCTCTGTAACCAGACATGGGGCTGTGGCATGAAGCCCGTGTCTGCAGACCCAGCGCCTCAGGGACAGTGTTAGAAACGCTTGTCTTAGTATCTTAAAAGACCAAGCTGAGTACCCTTTTTCATCTGTCACTGCTGACCTTAGGTTGTTACTCTAACATTTCCTTCTTGTGTTTCATGAAGCTGATTTCCTCTCTCTTTCCTTTTCAGCAATACTGGAGTAACCGCTTCCTAAACCATTTTGCAGAAATGTAAGGGTGTTCGGTTGCGTGCATGTGCGTTTTTAGCAACACATCTACCAACCTCTGCATGATTGATGTTGAGGAAAAGGAAAAGTAGAAAAAGTTCCCAACTCGTGTGTTATATGGAGGAAATGTGTATTACCAATGGGGTTTTTAGCTTTCAAATCAAAGTAATGATTACAGACATACAATTTAGCTTAATCAGAACCTCTCCAGAGAAGTTTGGTTTCTTTGCTGCAAGAAGAATTAAGGTTCTGATACCTTATCCAAGAACTTAGAAGCCGTCAGCCAAGTCTCCACATTTCTCTGTGCAAAATGTCGTAGCTTATATAAATGTACAATATTCTATTGTAATGCATGCCTTCAGTTGTAAGTAGCGCGAATTCTCTACAGTGACATTGAAACATGCTACTTTTTAATTGGCCCTGTACAGTTTGCTTATTTATAAATTCTTTAAAAACACTACAGGTGTTGGTTAAAATGTAGGCTTCAAGTTCATACCTTCAGTTATTTTTGAGTGTGCAGACAGCTATTTTGCACTGTAATTTATTTAATGAAACCAGAAGCAGTAGACAGATGTTGGTGCAATACAAATATTGTGACGCGTTTATCTTAATAAAATGCTAAACGTCAACTTACCACAACGCATGTTTGACTTTAGACTGTAAATAGAGATGAGTTTGTTTCTTTCTGTGCTGGCAACAAGAGGCATTGCACAGACATGGTTTCAGGTAAATAAATCTATTCTACGGTAAATTCCGGGTGCGCTGTTGACTGTTCTCCTGTGGGAGGCTGGGGATGGGCTCCAGGGCTCCTGCCTGCACCTCTGCTGGAAGCAACACGGTTCGCCCTCCCATGGAGAGTGTCTGGGAACTCCTCGGTCCTAACTGGGAGGCAAAGCAGAGTGGTAGAAGTTCCGCTCCTGTGAGACATGATCTGTAAGAGTCCCATCTGGCTCTTGGCCCTTTGAGGACGGGGAAACCCAGTGTGCATCACCAGTGGGGGCTTTCAAGAATCTAGATCTCAAGGTCTCACTAGTCAACATCACTAAGAAAGCTGAGACTCAAGAGACTGGAAAACTATAGCAGTGGAGAAGTGCAAAATCCAAAATAACTGTCCCAATTGATAGGTACAGAAGAGAGGTGAAATAGAACTGAATAGCTACTGCAGGGGGGAGGTGAAACTTAGACATTTGATGGTCAGTGATTTGCCACGCAGATTTAGAGTGAAGCGCCCCTCCCTGACTCCACGTTCCATAAGGTGGTTCTTTTGTTGAAAAGGTAATACCCGGATGCAAGGGTAGTTGGAGGATTCTATAAATCTAAACAAGCAAAACTATTAAGTACTATCAACTCCCCCAATGTGGAAGAAAATATTAAAGTTTAAAATCTTGTCTTAACTAACCATAATTTCCATTTATTGCCACAATGAGATCTGTTGCCTAGTGGTTAAGGAAGCTGGATTCCACGTAGCTAACCATGGTTCAAATCTTGGCCCCAGTGGCTTGAAAAAGACAAGGCATGTGTGTGAATGCCCCAAATCCTGGAACGATGGAGGGAGGAGAGATTGCAGTGTGACACTCACAGTTGGAGGGTACTTTCTACCTCTCCCTTGCTGTCACTGGCAAAGGCACATACCCTCTGGCAATCAGGGAGGAAAAAAAGAATGAAAACTAAAGCACAGCTGTTAGGATAAACTTTAGAATTATACTAAGTCCACAGGTGTCTGTTACTCAGCACTGCTGTGGAGATACTAGTCAATGCAATCAGGTAAGAAAACAAAAAAATGCTTCAATGAATAAAAAACAAGGGTCATACTGGATCAATGGACACATCAAGGAAAGTTTAATAATTTAGGGAGAACTGACATCTTAGTGTGATGTGATAATTCACTTAGAGGTATTTTAAAAAGTTACGGTTTTTTGGGGTTTTGCCATAGGGCACCTGCACTCACCAGCGAGAGACTGAGAGGGAAAGTGTGAACCACCCCCGGCCCCGGGGGAATGACCTTGCTGTAGTCCATTCTCCAGGGAGCTGGGGTACACGCACATGTGTGCCTGATGTGATTTTCAGGCCTCTAGGTCTGGGACATGAACTGCAGTCAGCCATGTGACAGTCCAGCCCCTTTAACCACCACCCCAGTTGCTGACCCAAAAACAAAAACACCTTAATCAAACAGGCGATTCTAACAATGAGGTAAAGTGTAAAATAGTAATGGAAGGACCAGCAGCTGGTGTAATGGTTATGTTGCTGGACTCCCACATTGTTGACTGGTTTGAGTCCTGGACACAGTGACTGAAAACTCATTCTGGCCAAGTGCATGCATGCCCAAAATCCTAAGAGACTGGAGGAGAAAAGATTGCCGTGTGGGTCATCCCCCAGGGGCTGATTTCTTTCTGGCAAATGCACGTGTCCTGTAGCACACACAAATTTTTTTTTTTTTAGTTATTAATTTTTGTTACTATTTTTTAATTTGACCAGAGAGAGACAGACAGAAGGGGAAAGCAAGGAAGCAAGCTGCCAGGTACAGGACTCGAACTGCAGTTGGCCATGTGGGAATCCAGCGCCTCTAACCACCATGCCACCTGCCAGCCCCACACACAAAAAATTTTAAGAAAAAAATAGAGCATAGTAATGGGAACATGGAATGTATACCAGACTCCTTGATTAAAACTAGTAATTAAAGGCATTATTTGAAGAGTGGTGTTTCTACTTAGTAGGTCAACTTAATTGGGTTATGTGGGTAATGACCTTGAAAAAACAGCTGGGGACCAGCAGTTGGTGTAATGGCTATGTTGCTGGACTCCCATGTAGTCGACCACAGTTCAAGTCCTGGACCCAGTGGCTTAAACTCGCCAGGGCACAGGTGCATGCCTGTCCCAAGATCCCAAGAGGAGAATGGAGG